AACAAAAACACTCAATATTGCACACATTTTGCTATCCGCTTTTAGTTTGCACAATATCCAAACTCAATGTCACTTTCATGCAGACAAGTACATTTTTAACCATTCCACAATGTCTTTTGCTCATAGGCAATCAAGAAACCATATTTACCACTGGCAGTGTACTTTTCATTTTAATGAACTGACTTATGATCAAATCATAAGTCAAGAAACAGTTGATTTCAATTATGTTTAACCTTTTTTGAAGCTTTAAGAGTTCCGTTGAGATGTGAAATGGCCTACTTCAAAATGTGATGCATTGCGTTTTACTTGTATATGTTCTATACATAGGACTGCTTGAGAATCATTGTCTTCATATGAACCTTATACTTGTGTAAAGCTGTCTCAAATTGAACATACACATGAAATCAAGGCAAGATATTTTGTTTCTAGTGATTGTGTGTGCCTGCCAATATTCAGTTTTCTTTCTGCCTGCAATTATTCTGACAATTTCAAACTTGAAAAAATTTGATATAAATACACAGGTATTATAGTTTTCAATGCACAAACAAAAATTTTCTGGGGGGTTGCTGAGAAAAAACCTCAGAACAAGGTACAGACATCAACTTTAGATACCCTGGTACGCAGCATATATAATGTCAACATCACAGTTTTGGGGTCTTCATCAAAACAGCTTAACTGCTGCATGTCTGAAACACCAACTGCACCATGTATGCAGCCTAATTTCGTGGCACTGCTAAGCACACAATTTTATGCTAACAGAGGTGCCACATATTTCATGGTGACAGTAAGGAGTAAGTACAGCAAAAGCCATGCACGCTAACCTTGGGGGGAAAAAATTGCTATCTTTATTACTATGGAAATCTCTATATGCGGGCCCATGCAATTTTTGTGCTAAGCACGGCAGCCATGAAGTGAACTACACCGTGAAATTCACTTATTGTTACTCAAAATTTTGCACAATGGCTTGCAAAAAAATTTACTTTATGGTAAAGCAGTGCCATGAAATCAGGCTCAGTTAATTGCTCTTAGCAACAAATATCTGGCAGTGGGTTCCACTATATCCCCCTTGGCACACGCAGCTGTAGGGTCCATTGGATGGTGCACTGCAGACCCCTCCATTTTGGCATGGATTACTGGAGCAAGCATCCACTATGTTTGTAAGTGAGACACCCGAGAAAGAGACACTACCAAGAGCTCAGTAAACCTTAACAACAGCAACTCTGCAAGGAGAACACGGGAGGGGGGAGGCAAAAATAGGAAAGCTGAAGCACCGAAGGGAAGTTGGGTTGGCGCAATGGTACTCTCTATGCCTGTCACCTCTACGACCTGCATTTGAATCCTCCTATACGGATTGGGTTCTCAGTCCCTGCACATGCCGGATGTCGTGGCCTTTCCTCGGCATATTTATTGGAATTTGTCCTCCCACCTCGATCTGAAACTGACTATTCTTCACGGGCTTCTTCTACTAAAGGACCCATGGGAAATGAGTTAAAAGACTTTCATGGACTATCCTGGTCGTATGCTATGTAATAAATACGTATCATGAATGAATACATCATAAATTAAGCGGTCATTAGCCAATTGCAACGTCTGCTGTGAAATGCATACTGAGGTACATGTACATATACACAGGTAGGCAGGGTGTGGCTTACATAAAGGCACATGTAGAATTCTAGTACTGTTATACAATAAGTATGAAATTAATTCACACTATATGTACAAATGTAACTTGACTTTCATTTAGAGACAGATAAATTCTCTGATCATCAAATCAGATTTAGGTTAGGAATTGCTCTCACGTGCATTTGAGATGTTAATCAATGAGACTTAATACGGTTATGTTTTGGTAAAAAAAACAGCATTTTGGTCAAGTTATTGATTTTTTCTAGTTATTTTGGCACACTGTTTTTCCCTTCAAAAATTTGTTACTATGTTTGGTTTCACGTACATCTAAGGAAAAAGTCTTCCGGTATGCTTTATGTGAAAAGAGGTTTGGGGCAGATTATAACTTTTACCTGGCATTAGTTTGATTTAACATGTTTAAACATTAATTGAATTTTTCCATAAATTTCCTCAAAGCAACTAACTGATACCTGTTGGGAGGGGAAAAACAACAGCTGAGTCATGGTGTGTAACACTGAGTGGAGAGTACAGGTGGTATGCCATTCTTACAAAGAATTCACAACTACATGTAATACCTGAAGCCATCCCCTTTTGCAGAGGTGTCTCAGACAGTTATGCTGCCTGGACAAACACACCTATGCATGCCTTATGGCCTGGCTCACTATAATAAGTACGGAGTACGTACTGCAACCGTCAGTCATTGATCAGCTTACATAAATATCTAAACTGATTGCAATAGACAGATTTATTAAGCATCTTTTGCATCGTCTCCTTGCTAAAGCACAATTACTGAGTTGCCTAGCAACCTGAGTCAAGGATGCAGGTGTTGGACACCTGTCCTGCTGTTGAATCCATCCATTCACAGCCCACAATATATGCCAAAGCAAATCAAGCACATTACTGGTGTGGCTCAGTGGGCTTTCTGTAAACACTGATTTCAGTTGTGCTATTAGTGTGAAAGCATTTTAGAATAAACATGGCCGACGATTTTTATTAGTCATTATCAGCAGGATAATGATAATGCTGGCCTAATGAAAAGCATAGCAATATTTAATATGAGTTTAGAAATTGTGCCTAGAAGCCTGTAGCATGAGTTTACCAATGCAAACAGCTCGTGCAAAACATGTCTGCTGATATATAGTGAATATATTTGAATGTTAACCTAACATTTCGGACATTTCCTATTACATACAGCACTTTACATGGGGATGGATACACCTTGAAAGTTGAATGCAGAGAATATTCCATAGGTTTCCTGCACTGTGGATAAGTTTTGAAGGATTTTGAAGGATTTGTGAATACATTTCTGGCTAAAATTGTGGTGTGGGGGTTTTAATTAACAATAACTCCCAAAGTTAAATCATAACTAAAATTGGAGGATTTAACACTGTTGTGGTTAAATAGTTTTTCTAATTAACATCTCCCTGCTGGTGCAAAATACATGTACATCCTTGACCAGTTTTGTTTCCAATGAATTGACATGCTCTATGGGAAGAAGGCCCCTCAACCCAGTTTACAGTGGAGATGAATGTACATGTATAAACTCTAATTATCTTAAGACACTATTCTTTCAACAATGTCAAAAAGGACCTAACACGCCTAACATATACATTCACAAATCTCTTGTTCCCACCCTATCAAGACTCCTTGAATGGCTATGACAAAAACCACATACTGCTTGGCCTACTTGAAAAATTTTCACCAGGTTGCAGAAAAATCTTCAAGTTCAAGTGATAAATGAGGCTGGGCAACCCTTTAAATGCTATTCTCAATCCCCCAAAAAGTGTTTTCCCATTGCATTAACAAATCCAGAACAAAAATAATCCAATCAATACAAGAATGTCCACATTTCTCGAATTTAGGCTACACATTGTTGCACTGCCAGTAACTCTACATGTATTTTCAAAAGGTTCCCATGTTAACTACATATTTAAATGGGTATTCATGTTAGCAACCTTGATCTCACAAATCCTCATAAAAAAGAAGCAGCTGAATAGACCAATGGCATAAATGGGTGAAGTGCAAGGGACTACAAATAATGCTGCCAAAGCAACACCACTTCACACCATGATGGATTCGTCCTTTGGGTTAAACTGAAATGTGAACACTGGTACATGTAATAAGGACATGTGACAGAGCGGGCTAAAGTTGACTGATTTCTTTTCATGGCTCAATCATATTGGGCCCCCAACATGTAAAACACACTGCAACCATCTTGGAATGTATACAGAACTGCACGTACGTACATTCGTGCAGGTTTAATAGCAGTATGTGGGACAACCGTCAACATTCTGACTGACACTTTGATGTGGGCACTGGTTATCTTTTTTCTAAACCCAAGAGGCTGACGCATATAGCAACCAAGGGAAAGCAATGGGTTACATGAGTAATTCACGGCTACCAAAAGAATGATTTTTAAAAAGCAGATCAGAGATGAATAATTTGACCGAGGAACCTCTGATTACTTTGAGCTTTGATGAACTGGGTATCAAATTGAAGAGGTTTAACTAAAATGTTCTTTGCATATCTAGGGTGGAGAGAAAACTGTGACACTGTGACACAAATAGTTTACAAGGTGGCATTTAAAAAAAAAGCCATGCGCATTCACATGAAGTATTGGAAACAGTTACTGCATCAAACTAAATATGTAAAATGCAAATACCTGGGTACCAGCAAAGGAAACCTGACCTTATGGTTTCAAAAAAGAGGCAAATGTGATTAATTTCATATTGACAGTTCTGTCTATCATCAACAACATCAACACTATAAACCTGAATTGTTTGCATTAACCTTAACCCTCTAGGGTTTATGTAAAATCATATTGAAATTAGAGGATTTGGGACTGTTAGGGTTAATTTCCAGGTCGCCTAGTTTCTTGTTTTAACATTTCCCCACAAATAATCAAAACTTTTCTTTTTCTTTGCTTTTAAAGTAACTAAAAATACAATTCATTTATTACACGGGTATCCATTTCCTACATGTATATTGGAAACCGGCTCCTGACATCATTGGTCGGGTATGTGGGTTTCAAGCTCCATTGTACATTTTTCACATCACTAGTGAGAGACATCTTACTCATTTTTTTATTTGTTACACAAACTTGGAAAAATGTAACCCATCTTCAGGGTCATTTTTTTGCAAGTCAAATTAGAATAGATTTTTTCACATGCGAAGTTGCGTAGCAAGTAATTTTTTTTCAAGAGTGTAAGTAAGGCAACATTTCCCGAGTCAAAATGAAAGTGCAAGTCATTTTTCAAGCCTGTATATTACGTTACATTTGCACATTTTTCAGACATCCCATATTGCTGATGTGACCTACATGTATGTTTGCAACATGAGTCTGACCTGTCTGCTTAAGTTTACTTGCCCTCATTATATGCTCACATTTCTTGTGACCAAATATAAGTATGATGAAGTCAGAACTTTGTTTACATCAGAGTTCGAAGTAATTTTCTCCCCTGTCAAGTCTCCTGTCAAAATAACTGTGACTCAAGTCTGACACGGGTCCGAGTTAGCGATTCAAGCCACTGCTCACTGCCACACTGAGCCTAAATCATAGTGTAAGAACTTGGATCAAGAGGTATAATACTCATGTAACACCAATGGATTGCTATTTGAGTGCTTGATTCTTCATGAAGATAACACCAGACTTTGCCACCCTGCGTAGGTCTTGGATTATCTACATAAAAGCTAGACCTCACTTGTTACATAAGAAGCTACGAAGGGGTGTGGTTGCCTTGTTTGTTTGGACCAAAGCCATAACTTCAACAGTAATAGAAGGTTGTAGTGCAAATCGGATGACCACAGCTGCATGTACATGCCCATTGTGGGGCGTCAAAAACTTGAACACCTGACGGAGTCATGAAGACGTGGGCGTGTACTTGCAAACTAGTTTTGCTAGCTCACACAAAATACAAAGCCTTGCTTTTTGCCCTCAAAGCTACAAATCCCACCAATTTTGTTTTTCTGATACAGTAAATTGCTTTGTGTGGAAAATCAGCACAACAGTGCTATTCAGAATTGTACCCTGGTAGACACAACACATAAATCACTGTCAATTCATCATTGTAGGCTGATGAATGAAGTCATCCTACGGAATAGCTCCTAGAATTATTCATTTTCTGTCCGCATTAAAATGCATAGCATGCCATATTAGCTTGACTTCAGTGGCGTTTTCAGCAAGGGAGGGGGGGAGGTTGCTTCCCAGACAGATTTTTTACAAAGAATACCACATAGATTAGTATGAAAGAAAGTAATCAGTATATTAATTTATCAAATATTGATAAGGCTTTTGGATATTTTGCTCCCCAACATAATGTTGAATGAGCCCAAAGCTGCATTCACTTTTGAATTTTCCCCCTACCCCTAATACCAACAGCTGGATATGCTGCTGCATTAAACAAATGGACACTGCTATTTTTATGCACTTTCAACCGAGTGGCTCAAACAACTCGGAAACAAACAATGCCTGAATCACTACCACAGTTACACTGGCATCATTACCATTATCATCTGACAATGTTACCATTTTAACTGACTCAATCAAGGGGAAGAAAAAATGGGTCGTAAAAAGACGATGGGACAATTTAACGGCTCACCTGCAAAATATGTTATCACATTCGACTCCACGTTCACCCAGTATGTGTTGTAGGTTTGCACAACTGACATTCTGAAAATGGAAGAAAATAATCAAAGCATGAAGGCTATTTGCAGCACTCAAAGTGGAAAAAAAATATCAAGAGAAAAAGTTACAAAATTCCTCTGCTAAGGAATCGCTGCAACATTTTATGGGCCCCAAAAAAGAGAAAAAAATCAGATGCACAAACACTTTGAAGTCGGTGGTCCAAATTTTTCACATGGGAAATACTGGAAAATCTGGCCCAATAAACTTGAATTCAACAAAACCTAGTTATTTATTGCAATACAAAGTGTAGCCTTCACAGTCCTGATGCCGAGGTGTGTACATGTATGTGCGTCAACATAATGTGCAAATACGGGTAATGGTAGGTTTAACTCACGCATTGTGAGTACCTTTTGTCACATTATGGTCTTCATTTCAACCCTACAGGCTGAATAAGGGTGCATTTTCACTCATGGTGCATGCATCGCAGGGCCAGAAAACTCAACACAACACAGCGGTCCTGCTGTTGAGCCGCTAGTACGCGCCACCTATTGTTAATACATGTATTTACCAACTTTGGCCATAATCCTGAGCAACTGGTGACAGCAAATTGTATTTGGCTAGTATAAAAAAAATAAACGGCTGCAAAACTTTGGCTTCTGCTTAAAATGTGCCAGTGCAAAGAGTGACTGCATTGGATTCTGTTGAGTTTGACACAATTTACATTATTTACAAGCCGGCCATCTAAAATCAAAAGTGAGAAGATCCTTGTCATAAATACTGTCTAAAAGCTCAATAAATGTGGGAATAAAAAATGAAACAATGGGACAAATTATAAATTACTATTACTAAATGCTCTGATGGACATGTTCCAAATACTTGATTCAAATTCATGTGTTGATGTATCGAAACTAAAAACATTTCTGAAGCGAGGCTGTAACTGTAAGTACAGCAAATATTTGGGTTTCTTCCTACTTCTGAAGCTGTGTTTGGTTTACGGACACCAAAACCTGCCTCACAGACAGTGCAAACCAGTGTTCCAGAGCTCTCTTCACGTGAAAGTGAAACATTTGATGTCACATAACACTTGCAATGAGATTTTCTCCAGTTGACACAACTTGTTTGACTTAGCAACGTCACACGATCATCACAAAACGTCACAAAATCGTGTCCGTACATACTCGCTATTGTACTGAGTATAAACCAGCTCATAGGAAGAACGAACCCTGCCCACAATGTGTTAATTGATGTCACTAGTGAGGCTTGATGTCCCTTAAAAATTACAGTACAGGTAAAAAGAATGTACCATGGGTTTTCCTATGCAGTGGAGGATTTGGGAAGATTTAGGAAGGTTCCAGAAGAAGAAGGAACCTCATGATTTCAGCAATCACAATCGAAAGCAACTGAAGCACTTCAAACTTCTGGTTTGTAATTTTTCCTTTTGTTTTGTTTTGCTTTGAAATGGCAAAGAGTTGGAAACTGGCATCATATGACAGAAACAAAGATCTTTGCAGTACTTCCCCATCACAACATCAAAAATAAATAGTAAGAAATGCACCCATTGGCTTGAGACAATTTCTTCTTTTCCCAGTTTGTGCCTCGATGTGGAGGCAAATTCCTGATTGACACATATATACGACCCACACAATGTGTTGGTAGCGTTTCAATTCAGCATGTGGTCTTCCTGAATACTCACACAAATCTGACACTCCCGACGTCCGTGATAGGCGTCAACCATGTGAAGGTCTGAGACACCGATTTGTCATTTCGGTTCGTGTGCGTGATAGTGTCATGGGTGCTACTACATCTAATCCTTTTGTAGTCCAGCAGTTGAGCATCTTGAAGATTGAGCCAACTGCCCTGGGGAGCAGTAGACAAACCATCAGTCCGACGAGCCTGAAGTATGATGCCCCGATACTGCTGGCTAGCAACAACCGTAACTGAAAAGAGCCACAATAAAACAACAAGTTGAATGGTTAGGCGCCAGAAGTAGAAGCCGTCATTATTACTGCAGCAGCACTACACTCACCAAGTACTACCCCTTCACCAAATACGGTGTTATTTATGACCTGCATGTAATTAAAAATGTGCGCATGCATTCAAGCTTAAGGAGGCATGCATATGGCACGCTAATGGCATCCCCTTGATGAAGTCTTCAGCCCTTACACAGTACAATTGTATGACATCCACAAGCAGGTTCATTCCAGTCAAGTATCAAATGTCGTGACAAAAACAATACGACTGTAGGGGCAGTACCTCAAAGAGTTTACTGGACCGGAACACAAACATTACAAGATGGCAACAGTAACTCAAATGAATGAATCAACTGTTGTGGCACAGTGTTGGACATGCCCTGTCTCAAAAATTATGTGTAACACACATGTCAGCACATTCATTTTTATCTCCAAGAATTTTAAGCTCACACAAGCTTATGCTAACTAAATTTCACACATGACTGTGTAATAAGCAACACTGCAGTAGATTACTGGGCTTGTACTGGCATATGCTGCAAAGCTGACACCAAAATCACTGGTGGTCCACCGGTCCGTGGATATGTCGACCAGCGATTCCTGCGTCAAAAGTACATTTGCAAACTTGTGAGGCAAATTTGCAGACCCACTCGGCTAGGATGGTTCAGTTATAATGAATTCGGTTACCAAGGAAATAAGCATGACTGATATAGAAGGGAATGGCTCACACTACATGTTCTTTCACAGAAGTGCTAAGATTACAACAAGTTGCGCCTGGCAGGGGTGGCTCCATTATGCACATCTATCAAAACTTGTTCTTTGAACATAAATGGGGGAATTCATCCATTTCCTTTCACAGAAAACATGTACATACAATACAGCCAGCCCATCAACTGCTTATTACTTTCAGACTGTTTAAATGTGTTGACATCAATATTTCCACTTCTCAAAAATCCATCACTGCCCTTTGAAATATATGAGATCCACCGCTGCTATAGTGGCCCACGTACAACTGAAACTCTAATCCCCATTGGGTTCTCACACAATGGAACCCTTCTAAATTAAGGCAACAGTATGCAAAACATTTGAAATGATAATCTTGCTGAGTGCAACAGAATCCAACACAGTTGAAATGATGGCCCTGCTCCATGCTGAGAACAACAAAATGCAACAAAACCGAAATGAGAGCTCTGCTGAATAAAACAGCTCAAATGAAAACCATGCTGAATGCAACAATGGTAAAACTACTCAGAACCGTTGGCGTAACTATGGTTGAAGGGAGACACATGCCCCTCCCCCAGCGAATGTCTGTGCCCCCTGGTGCCCCCCCCCATTTGAAATCCATGCTCTGCTGCAGCTCACTGTCTTTTGGTGCTCCCATTAGACGTACTAGCCTGGCCGGCCTAGACTTACGCCATTGCTCAGAACCTGGCTGATTACAACAAAATGCAATAAATAAAGCTGAAACAAAAGCCCTGCCAGATGAACCAATGGACTTTGTGGCAAGTTAAGTGCCATAAAGCACTGGACAAATTGGCCTTATGTCAAGTTGACGTACACTCTCTGTTTGGTGCTAAACAAGACTCACAACTTATCATTGTCATCTCATTCTGTCAGGGAGCACTGCTACATGTAGACTTCATTTTTGACAAGCACTAACACTCACGATAAGGAAGTATGTGAAAACTAAAGCTCAGGCAACACTTTGGCAATTTTTCTAAATTCCCTGTCTTCAAGTGCTCTACAACATGATTTTGTAAAATCAGTTTTTGAGTATGGCCAATAAAAATGGGCGTTGAGGAGATGCTTAACGTTCCCTTTCTATGCATACTGCATTGACACCACAGACTCCTCACTGTTCAATAATGGGCAGCGCATACTGTATCCTAGAATGAACAAACAGGAATGCAAAAGATAATCTATAAGGCATACAATGGACGGGATTTAGGCACAAAGGGTATACATCTAGGCCTGCGAAGGTGAAGTTACATACATTACATCAAAATCTTGAGTCAGGGCCAGCGGGTATGTCTACGTGTAGGTCTTTACCTGTTGCACATGCACAAACACAGACTGACATGTCACATAGCTACACAGCTACATTTTGTAGTGTGTAGTTTCACTGAAAGGGCAGATCCAGGGAGCCATGAGGGCCATATCCCCTTCCAAATGAGGAGCCAATTTTTTTGGGGGGGGGGGAGAACAAGGAAAGAAAGGCACGTTTTTGGTCTTTTTGTATTCCTCTCCATTAAAGTGTGTAAAAAAGCCCCTAAATGCAGCTTCACCCCTAGACAAAGGCCAAAAAAATTACTGAACAGAACATGAAAAAATTCCGAATTTCTGGCCCTCAAAGAAACAAATTGTCCCCCCCCCAAAAAAAATTTGGATCCGTCCTTCTGTTAATTGGAATATCAGAATAATAAGCAATTAGGACTATATAACATCAACTGCATGGACTCTTATAGCTTTCTCCTTTTCTCTAGGAGACAGACCCCCCGGCCTGGAACTGTCCTGAAAAGCTTACATGTACCCTAGCCCAGGGGGATTCCCTGACCATACTCAGTTCTGATACATGTAGCCGTCCCTCTGTCCTGTAACTCACATCACAAAACCAAATATTTGAATAATTCAATCAAACTTAAGGTAGGTCAAATACTCCATTATTCAGACTGACTAAGCCTTACACAATAGGCAACATACATGTACATGTACACTATTCTACACTGCATACCTGCAAGTCCATGTCCTGTGTATCCAGGAACAGTGAAGCACCAACAGAATGTCATTTGTAATAATCAGCATGAGTATTTCTCTAGCCCCAAATGTTCATAATATCTGGAAATTGCAATAAATTCACTTCAACCCAAATTCTCAAGACATTGGGAAATTTGTGTTCACTTCAGTTCTAATGATCATAATATTGGGAAGTTCGCAATTAAAAAAAGGATATCTGTAGACTATGTTTCTTATAAGGGAGGGTAGGTCTTTTGGGGGGAAAAGAGGGTACTTGAAAAAATTACTTGCTTGTCCCCTGAGATTCTTGATATCTTAATTTCTCAATTTTTTTTTCTCGGTAGCAAATTCTGCACAAGGTCAAAAGGTTTTCTTTTCATCAGTCAGAGCAAAATTAATGGTCAGTGGGATATGAGAGCCATGATCATGACATGGGAAAATTCAAATTCAAGTTACACAAACTTCCTGATGTTATGAGAGAAAGAATGTTGCATCCTGCTTCCACTTTTTCAATCAAACATATATCATCTCATTAGTAGGTCAGTCATTGCAGAAATGCTGAAAAGACATGGATATGAGAAACACATTCCAAGTCACCAAGACAGACATTATACACAACCAAAAGGTGGAGTCATGGTTCAACATGATTTCCCTCTGTGCATCAGGAAGGTTTTTTGATAGGAAAGTGTAAGAAACCATGGAGAAAAATACTGCTAAATACGTCTGATTTCTTGTGGTCACTGAGTACATTTGGTTGAACAAAAAATAGCTGAAAGCCCATTTTGTGGCCAAGTAATTGGCCTTCACCTACAACTTATGTCAGATCAAGCACATAAAAGGCTTGGCACAAATCCAATTTTGTGGCTCTAGAGGACCCATAACATGCAGATATACCATAACGTGAACATGCAGATATACCATAACGTGAACATGCAGATATACCATAACGTGAACATAGTGGAAACGAGAAGCACTGTAAAAGGGACCTTTGGGTAGCTGGATTAATAAGGAGCTCTTGGGATGATGACATCGCAGAGCTAAGATGTCGGCATCCTGACATAATTTCTCATAGTATGATGACAACCCAAGATAAATTATCACAGAATGATGCCATCATAACAGTTGAATAATGACATCCTGAGATAATTTATCAAGGGACAACAACATTGTAAAGTTGAATTACATTATTTGTGAATGGGTGCATTGACAAACCACCTTGAATGTGCACAGGTGACCTGAAGCGCTTTTGTCCTTTAAAGCATTGTCTTCCTATTGCCATACATGATATTAGTTAGATTGATAAAACGTCATGATGTCTCACTGCTTGTTACAAGTTGTGAAGCAGGCATCACATTTGCTGGACGGTCTGTGGATGATGAAATCCTGAGATAATGATTATCTCATGATGTCGTCATCCATCTTTTAGGATGTTGTCACTCTATGGTAAATTATCTCTGGATGTCATCATCCAACCTTTATGATATTGTCATCCCGTAATAGATTATCTTAGGATGTCAGCATCTTGCCCTAATTATATTCTCATCCCGAGAAAATATATGGCAGGATCTCAAGTTAACAACTCGGATGGCACTTCCAGAGCTCCTTACTACGTCAGACTCCACGTTAGCCCCACTTGTGTGGCACAGACTCTCCAAGGATATCCTAAGGATGAAGTTGTAGCGAGAGTCCGTGCCACACTTGTGGGACTAACTCCAGGTAAACATGTACTATGTAGACCCTTGCATGCCGTCTGTCCATAATCTACAACTACAAGGTCGACTTGTGACGAGTCCCATCCCGGAACGGTCTTGTGAGTTCTGGTCCTGCCTGTCACTGCCTTGTTTGCAATTCATCACTAATCAAGACAAGTTTCTGACCGTACGGTGGGTTCCACGACAGATAGGAAATAGGCCCCCCTATCCCACAAACGGGCCGGGCGCATTTGAATTATGACGTAGGGCGCAAAACCTGTCATGCAGGCGTCAAATTTTTCCATGGGCTGTTCAATGACTTCGTCACCTTTTCTCGAACTTTCCCAAAACGCATATCAATACATATATACGCCATCACCAAATTCTTTACTCATTACTGAATTTATCAAACTTCTCCTCGTGCGACGTTCTTCACGTCACGGTACTGGTGCTTGGACTTTTGACTCGGAGGTGAATTTCAACATGGAGGAAGGAACACATTTCCTTCCTCCTTTCCTTCAACAGCTTCACCGTTGGTAAAATCCC